TCTCTCTCTCTCTCTCTCTCTCTCTCTCTTCCTCTCTCTCTCATTCTCATTCTTTCTTTTTCTCTCCCACTTTTTTCCTTCGTTCTTCATTTTAATTAATTAATCACACTAATAATGCCGTACAATGACGTTCAGTCTCTCAATGAAACACAAACGGTATTGTTAAACCCTTCGCATTTGAACCGCTTTTTAACCCTTTATAAGGACAATTACTATAACAATCCTCTCTCTTCTGATTAATGATCAAGAAAATCTCGCATATCACTTAATTCAGACCGCGTAAACTTTAGCTAACGAAAAAGACAAATCTTTTTTTTCTTTTGTTATTATTATTCGTTTTTTTTTTAGGTTTTTGTTTTCTTTTCCGTATTTTTTCTCTCTCTCTCTTTCTCTTTCTTTCTCTCCTCTATAAAGGGCTTAACGCGCTGAATCGAACGAGATCCATTTTGTAAATCGATCATCGGTTATCGTCGTCTCTCGTTGAGCCTATCACAAACCAACGCAATAAGAACAAAGATGGCCCCTTCCCAATTTAATTTCGTATTTAAATACGAACGATCTACGATCGTCGATAAATAATCAACGATTTACATAACGGATTTCGTACGACAGATCGATTAAAAATGGAATCAAGTTATTCGTTTGGAATGTTTCTGTTTCACAAAATGATGACACATCGTACATACATACATATATATATATATATATATGTATATATATGTATGTATATATATATGTATATATATGTATATATATGTATGTATGTATATATATATATATACATACATACATATTCATGTATGTACGTTGTGTACTATAAAAATTCTATTCCTTCTTGAGGTTCCTATATCTCGACGTTCGTAGAAAATACAATTAAATGGCGAGTAATCCTAGAGATCCGGCTTTAAAGTTATCATTCTTAATATACAAACATGACATAATATATTACATAAGATATTTCGTGAAGTTAACAACTTCACAGTTTTTTCGTCAGGACCGCATTTATCATACGACGCATTTTAGGCACAAGCCTCGCTCCCTATAAGCCCACGTTTTATTAAAAACTTAGTCCTTGTGCAAATAACGATTTAAAAAAAAAACAGCGCAATAGATTTGTTAAAATCACACAAACCAGAAAAAAAAAAGATAACTAGGGTGGGAAAAAAGATAAGACCAAAGAAAAAGCGTATGAATTTGATTCAACCTAAATAGACTTGTTTTTTCTTTCTTTCTCTTTTTTTTGTTGGGATCACATAACGATGTTGCGCCTGGATCATTCGAAAAATATAAATGCGATCCTGTTTATCGTGTAGCGACATACTCTGTTGTATTTATTATTCAGTGAGGGTTCTAACAATGTAAGTAATTCTCTAATTTCTATGTGTATTTAAGATTCGAGTATGTAATATTCAAATACGTATCGACGACAACAATTACACTACGCGTAAGATAATTTTTTTCTAGGCGAGTCGTACAATTTTATTTTAATTTACAATGAAGAAGAACACGAGGAAGTATGGTGTGTTAACTCGCTTGATTCCATCTCTAACGGCGATCATGTCGTTCTCTCTCACTCTCTCTCTCTTTCTCTCTCTCTCTCTCTCTCTCTCTCTCTGTCTCTCTTTTGTTTCAATTTTATTTTTTTTATCCTATTTTCTTTTTTCCTTTATTAAACGAGAAAATATTGCGAAAACTTCTATAAAGATCGCTTATACATTATAAATCCTTGAACAAATGTCATGAATATATATATATATATATATATATATATATATATATATATATATATACATACATACATACATACAAGGTGGTCCCCGCGTTTATTAATTATAATTTTTAAGTGTTACAAATTGTTTTTACTGAAATCATTACAGGGCTATATTGACTTCTTTGTAATCTTTTTTCTCTTTTTTCTTTTTTTTCTTTTTTCTCTTTTTTTCTTATTCGTTTACATCGAAAGACACAATAAGGCTGATATTAGTTAATTCAATAGTTTTTTTTTCTTTGATACAAAAAACGAAAATTTCTTCATCGTATTTCATTCATAACTAGAAAGGAGAGGCATCTTTAAAATTGACATATTAAATTTAAATACAAAAAGATATAAAAAAAAAGAGATACAAAAATTAGAGAATGTGTTAACAAATTTATATAGGTAATTATATTTTTAAAAAAGAAAAAAAATTTTTTTTACATTATCACAATGTTCCGATTAATTTTAATGACGACTATGCAATTGTCATTTAATCTAAAAAAAAAAAAAAAAAAAAAGAAAAAAAAGAAAAAGAAAGAAAAAAAGACGGAAGCTATCACAAGTTTTAAGATAAACACAATTTGCAACGCTTTATGCGGGGAATCACCTTGTGTATATATACGTATATATACATATATATACATATATATATATATATATATATATATATATTCATCAAATAATAATTTCAAATTATAAATAATCGGCAACATACTTTCAGTCATTTTGTTAAATTAAAAATCGTATTCGAATTGTTCATACATACATACATATATATATATATATATATATATATATATATATATGTATAATTACGATCGAACGATCACATAGCTTTATTATTTCTTTTTGTTGTTGTGCGTGTGTCGAGTGAACGTTAATTTTGTTTTCTATTTAAAGAGAAAAAAAAAGAAAAGTAAATAGAGACACGTAATCAACGTCGAGAGTATCATTAACGAAAGAACGATCGATTTCTGTCGAATTTTTGCTATCAAGATCGTGAGAATACAGCAAGCAGGATTAGCTGCCAATTTTCTCACATATCACGTTCGAAATTTGAAATTTTTTGATATGTCAACATAAGTTGTATTGTTCGGTTATATACGTTGAAAAAAAAAATAATAAAAAGAATATCATTGATATCTATTACAAAAAGAAGAACCCCTTGCATTTTTGACTATTTATATTATAATACATCATCACTTTGTGAACGCAAATTTGAACAAGAGATCCTTTAACGCTATAACTTTCCAATCGATCGCCGTTACAAATTTCGATAGAGGAAACTCTGCCATTTTGTTAGTTTCTTTTTTTTTTTTATTAATATTTTTTATGCAGGATCTAACGACGCAAATACGACGCAAATACGACGCACTAATATGAAGCCTCTTGTCATATCTTTTAAGAATGCGATTCAATAATAGGATAATACATATTTCATTTTATCTCAATATCAAATTAAACAATGCAAAGTTCACTGGCTGATCGAGTATAGTGTGTATTTATAATCGAGAACATCTTGTGTGCCATTAAAACGCATAACTCTTATTATTGGGCCACGATGTGCGTAAACATCAGAAAAAGCCAGCCAACTCGCAAAAATCGTAATTGTGATGTGATTTCTTATTTATTTATTATTTATTCATTTATTTATTTATTTAGTATTTTTTTTTTGTTCTTTTTTTCTCCTTTTTTCGTCATTCTCTATCTTTCTGTTTTTTTCCCCATTTTCTTTCCTCCTCGCACATCTCATTTTCTTATCTGTCGGTATAATGACATGGGTTTATTATTTTTTTTCTTTTTTCTTTTTTAACTTTTTTTTTAAATTTTTTTTCTTCTTTTTTATTATTTTTTTTTTAATTTTTTATTATGTCAGGGCAGCACAGCAACACGCCGGAGATATTCAAACGCCAACTCCCTAGCAAATGCAGCCGCTCTCTCCCTCCGATTCGGAGCCATTCTGCATCGACGATTGATTCTGCAAATCGACAGCTGCTTTTGTGTGTTAAGGTGTGTATATCTCTCAGAGACATCATGGTGATGGGAGAAATCGAGTCACGTGGAGAGAAAGAAGAAAAGAAAAAAGGAGAAAAGAAAAAGAAAAAAAAAAATAGAAAGAAGACTTGTTTATAACAAGTCACGCGAGCTTTGATATTGTGTTCGGTGACACGTAGATTCACGAAATCAATATGACACGAACGAGCTTATTTGATAAATTTACAATAGTAAAATAAGCTATAATGATAGAAACCCCGTAGAACACGAATTCGTTCAATCTAATCAAGCGCGTGGCGGAACAATATTGTATTCTTGAAAATTTGTCACCATTTCATTTCTTCTTTACTTGTAATTTTTCAAACGTTATTTTTTCATTTCTTTTTTCTTTTCTTTTCTTCTCTTTTTTTCTTTATTTTTCTTTTTCTCTTGATTTTTTTTTCTTTTTTTTCTTTTTTTTTTATGAAAAAGATGTAATCGATTTTTTCTTTTTTTTTTTTCTTTTTTTTTCTTTTTTTTTTTCTTTACTGAATCACATATACGAACACGATTCTTATGTTAATTATTACAAGCGTAGCATCGTTTCGAGATATCAGCGAACATACGTATTCGTTACTACGAATACGAAAAAACTAGAATTTTGTTATTTGATGATAAAGCGTATAAAATATAAATTGTTCGAAAATTGGGACGGAAAGTTCCCTATAGCTTTACGTATATAATGTAAAGTTTATAGTTTCACAAAGCACCATAATTAATATTTTGCATGTAACGTCTTATATCAGTTTTATATATAGGTAGTTTACACAATACAAAAGCAAATGCTCTCTGTGTGTCAGTTAGAAGAAAAAAAAAAGAACAAAAAAGAAACAAAAAAAAGAGAAAAAAGAAAGAATCACAACCTTCACCTAGTAAAACTGCAAATTAATGAGAATGTGTAATTAGGAAAAATGGGAATATATATACATATACATACATATATATATATATATATATATATATATACATATATCTGTATATATATCTAAAATGCGAATGATAAGAAATCATTGTAAAAAAATAGGCAGGTAATCTTTTTTATATAAATTAAAATATTACAATAACAGATATATTAACAAAAGTGACATTGAAGTAGCTAGCTAATATAGTCGTTACGTTTATTATATATGTATGTCAGTTGTGATCGGTACGAATATTTTTGACTCTAAGTTATTTTTTAAAGCACTCATTGATCTCATCATATTTTTTTTTCTTTTTTTTTTTTTTTCTTTTTTAATAAAATTACTTCAGTCAGTAAAGTATTAATGCACGATCAATGCTCGAATAAAAAAATGCAATTAACTGTGGACCGTACAATCGATCGACGAGAGGGACCGGTCGTAGCGCGCGAAAAATGTTCATTTTACGAGCGAAATTAATCTTAAATAATAATAATAATAATAATAATAATAATAATAATAATAATAATAATAATAATAATAATAATAATAATAAAAATCGATACAAAAAAGAGGTACCGCTCTAGCTACTGATCGTTCGTTAAGCCCATAAAAAAAATTTTACGGCAAGTCTTTTTCGCGTACCTCGTTGACTCTCAACTTAAATGTATGATTCAAGTTCTTAAGTCTCTTTCTCTTTTTCCTTTCATAGAGATTAACAAGTAGAAATAAATTAGCAAAACAAAAAAAAATGTATGAATAGCATTATTGCTGACAAATTGAAATAATGTTAAAATCTCTCTTTGATTAGAAACCTGCGGCGGCGTGTAAAAGACTACTATCGTGACTGCATTTACGCAATATATAAATTTGTTGCTTGAAAATTAGTTTTCTTTAATAAATCTGAAAACTTTTTCTACCGATGGTGCACGACACCATGCATCAGCCTTCAAACATGCACACAGCGCTACCTATAATACGAATTCTATAGAACGTACAATTCGAACAATAAAAATCGTCGAATATATTGCTTATCGATATTACAGTAAGTACATTCAGAAACTTGAATTTTTTTACGTAGACAGTTAACATATAATAAAAACAAAAAAAAAAAAAAAATAATAATAAAAAAAAATAAAAAAGAACAGAAAAGAAAAAAAGCATTGCATTATAGATCATAAAATTATGTCGTGAATAGTACTCACGCGATAAAAAGCCGTGATTGAAAATACTTTAAATAATGCGGGATTAAGATGGAAACTACAATTTACGAGTATAGCTACAAACATTATTGTGTAAAAGCAGTCCGTTTAGGCTATTCAGTTCGCATAGACTGTTTCGCTATCCTTTTACCAGCCAATATCATTACCATTTAAATACAGTGCTCTCGTTTTTCACATTATTCAGATGCATTATCAATGCTGCGAAAAACACAGACCAAATATCATTGTCTCCTAATGTCCTAAAATAAGATTTTAATTTAACTTATTTCAATGTATCCTGTCTACCATTAGGCCGACGGTGGCTTTAGCATGCACAACTGCTCTCCGATGCTTTGAGTTCAATTGGTGTGTCCTTCAGAACTACCTCTTGCACTACAGGTTTTAAAAATACATTAAGGAAAACACAAAAAAGATAACGTAAACAAATTGAAACACTTCTGTCTGAAACAAGAGCATCATAAATGAATATATGGTGAAAATTATATTTAAATAATGAATATAAAGATCAAAAAAGCTTCTAAATCAGAAAACAATAATAATATCTAATGTGAAATATATTCTATATGTTTATAGAAAAAAAAATAATCTTTATATACTTATAAATAAATTATTAAACTTGAATTTAATATAAATAATCGTTAAATGTACCAATAGTGTAGTCAAAACTGCAGACACATACCAGATTAATAGCTTTGTGCTTATAAATAGGCCATATTTTTAATCTTATACGGTTTTATAACTTTAGTAAATATTTGATTCAGAATGTTTGTTAAACGCAAATACATATCTATGAAACAATTATGTAACACAAAAAAAATTGAATGCTAACAAAAATGGAAACTATACTTGTGGCAATGAGTTCTCAGAATATAATGGGTTGTGCATAATGTTTATGTATGTGGGAAAAGAAAATTTTAATGCAGCTAAATGATTATAGCATGCAAGCATGGATACTAAATATCTTACAGAAAGGATACTGTCTTCAGGAGGTTTATTTTCAGTGGAATCCATACCAGGTAAAGCTGCTGCTACTCTTCTAAATAGCTGAAAAATGAAAAATTAATGTTACAACTTAAATCATAAAAGTATGATTAATAAATATCAAATAAATGAGAATTAATGAATATATATCGTCTGAAGTATATATACATGTACACACACACAGACACGCGCGCGCGGTGTATACTTATATATATATATATACACATATATAAGTATACATCATAAATAATAATGTACAGATTAGTTACTGTGTGTTAGAGTTACCTGTTTAACATTATATCCGGCCTTAGCACTAGTTTCAATGAACATCACATTTAATTCTTTAGCTTTTCGTTCACCTTCTTCTGTAGAAACCTGTCTTTTATCACTCAAGTCTGTTTTATTTCCTACTAGCATGATTATAACATCACTTCCTCTTTCAGTTCGAACATCATCGATCCATTTGGATGTTTGATGAAATGAATTAGCATCTATAAAAATATATAATGTCATAGAAGTTTCTAACCTATATCCAAAATCTAAAATGAACTTACTAGTGATATCATAAACAACAACTGCAACTGTAGAATCTCTGATATAGCTAGGTATTAGAGAACGAAACCGTTCTTGACCAGCAGTGTCCCATAGTTGTAATCTCACTGTTCTGTCTTCTAGATACATAGTTTTACTTAAGAAATCTATACCTATTGTAGCCTGAAACAAAATAAAAAAAAAAAAATTATGTAAGCCTAATGAATGATATTATCAAATAAAAAAAAATATAATACTTTTTAATAATTTTCCAGATATTTATACAAATTACTTTATATTTCATTTAATTAAATTTGCATTAAAGACATAATATATAAAATTGACATTTGATCATTTCATGTATAATAGATCCTTATAAAAACCTATGTTTTATATTATATTATCTATATTTAATAAAATAAATAAAATTCTGTATATTATTTTCCTTTATAGATATTCCATTGTACAAAACTTTTCAAAACATGATCGAATCAATATAAGATTTTTTATATAATTGACGTCTTCATATTCCATAATTAACTTATATAAAATTATCTTGAAATCATTTTTTTTTAATATTTAAAAATTATAAAAAATAAGATAGTTTAAATATTTATTTTGTACCTGATACGTGTTGTCAAAGCTGTCATACATAAATCGTGTGATGAGAGATGTTTTACCCACTGAAATAAGAAGAAATTTTTCATATAAATATGTACAAAATATTAAAATACTTTAAAATGTTTATACATACATATATATATATATATATATATATATATATATATATATATATATATACATATATGTACATATATACACATATATACATATATACATATATATAATATATATATATATATATATATATATATATCTCAAGAAATTAATGATATGAAAGTATTAATAAATACATTCATGTATAATTTATGATTTAGTATAATTAACATATTAATAAAAATGATAAATATATAGAACGGGGAAAAAACAAATATTGTTAAATTATATAAAATAATGTAAATGAAAAAAATTTTTTAGACTTTATACCATGACATGCAAATTATACTTGTTAATTAATATACATGTAACTCTAATAAACCGTAAACCCTATCTATATAAAAATCTTCCAGAAGAATCTTAAATATTTCAAATAGAACATTTTTATAGCCCAATAAAGATTTTCATAGTCCAATTAAAGATATCGGCGTTCCGCATCGTTAATTAAAAATTATTAATGTCAAACATTAATATATTTTCGATTAAGAACAATCCAACATAATAAAATACAAATTAATAAGAATAAGTGTGTTTCTAAGCGAACAAATAATATATATTGGTAAAATAATATTCCAATAGATAATTTCATGAAGGGATGAACGACAGAGACGCCGATTTCGATTACGAGAAATAAACTGTTGGCCGCGGTCAGAAATATTGATCCATAACCTAGAACGGTCCTTGAAATTAATACGATTTGATTTTTATTTAAGTATCTTATATAAAGATATAAAACAACATGCAATGTTATCGTTATATATAAAATACACATATTCGATATTGATCCGAAAATCAACGGAAGTGTGTGCGAAAAATATCTACTTACCGCTCTGCTCGCCAAGAAAGACGAGCTTGAATTTACGCAGTGGGTTTCCGAAATCGCCTGATGATGACATCTTTTCTTCGTTACTGTTCGTACAAAACTACGGGTTAACTCTAAGGAGCACTTAGAAACTGTTCAATCGTCGTAGTTAGTCATTAATGTTCGCGAAAGATCATTTAACTTTTGACAGATCCTGAAGCCACTCCTTCCTTCAATCGCGGGGTAGCCACGTTTAACTGGGAAGTGACGTCATTGGTCAATCGCGAATCATGTAAGATTAGTTCATTTGAATTATCTCAAGATGGCGTTGTCAAAACAATGTTAGTCATATGAAAGATTATAAAAATGATATTATTTTTCCGTTTTTATTTTTATATTTATATGAAAGACGTGTAAAATTTGTTAATGAATTTTTTATTGTAACGAATTATTTCTCATTAGATTTTACTTTGTGATATTTTTTAAAAAAAAAACAAAAAACAAAAAAAAAATACTAACACGATTACAAATTGTTTGAATAAAATCTTTTATTTTATCAAAGTGTTTTTTAAAGTTTTATAATATAAAGTTAAAACTACGTCTAAACTGCTATAAAGCGATAAACACGTTACAATTCAGTCGCGAATTTAAATCTAATAATTTACGGAAGCGCCCAAAAGTAAAAAATTCTTCCTGGCAAAACCTATGTAATTTTATTTGCATGTGCGATACACATGTTTGTATACAGATATATATTTACCTTTACAAAAATTATTTTTACTAATATATATATGTATATATATTTTAATACAATTACATGTTAATTATTCCACACAGCCTCATATGCATCCTTTGTATACAGTGTCAGTCAATCTGTTTATACTTAAGATACATTTTTCTCCCTTTTTCCTTATGTTGTTATAACTCTCAATACACACAAAATTACGAATGCAATGGTAGAAAATTTTCATAATTTTGTTTAAAAAGCGCATTTTCTTTTTTGTATTACTTAATAGTTTCTTTAGATTTTATTGTACTAAAAAAAAATAAAAAGAAAAGAAATAAAAAAAAAAAAAATAAACATTTTCAGATACAAAATTTAGTTGACTCACTCTATATGCATAATGTTCCTTTAGGAATTAAAATCTACCGACGATTTCTATTATTATTATTATTATTATTATTGTTAATATTATTATTATTATTATTATTATTATTATTCCTTACATTTCTGTAAGGATCCTCTATTACGATAGAACTGCAAATTAAGTCATAACCCGTTCTATTAAATCTAAAAAAAAATACTCCGAAACATATAGGAAAAACAGAAGATAATATTAAAGTTTTTATTACAGCACGGCCAAATGCCAGTGGAAAACCTAAATCAGTTCCTGGCTGAACGTACACCATGTCCGGATCGTCTGCTCGTTCCGCTGGTACCACACTTCGACACTGAACGACTCGTAACCCCATTATAGATTTTCCTGGAGTAGTACCACCTATACGACCGTTCATTCCACGTTGAAGCCAGAAAGCCTAAAGCATTTTTTCATGTTTTGTAATATATACATACACAGGTAACACAAGATTTTACAAATTTATAATACTAAATTTTATACACATGACTTACCTCAAAAATACATACTATTATACGATTTATTATTTCCAATAAGATAGTTCCATATGTTACTTCTATAGTCATTTTATAATCAATAGGTAGATTCGTTTGTAATATTTCGGAATCCTCTAAACCTCTAAAATTAAATATATACATATACAGTAAATCTAAATAACATTTGAGTGAAATTTAACATTAATAATAAATTTAACATTAATAAAATTAAACATTAAGAAGTAATTAATTACAGAGATAGACGTGGAGCATGCGTTCAAAACAATCAAAGTATAGATGTACGATTGAATACATACATAAAATCAAAAAAGTCGATGATGACGAAAGAAATAGAAATTCTCAAAAGAAATAACATTGCAGAATCTATAAATTCTGCGGCCAGTCGTTTCCATACTGGTGGTATACGAAATTCAAAACCTGTAAAAAAAATATTATTTTTACAGACCGTACAATACAATTATACATTCAGTGATAATGATGAAGATGTAGATTTCAAAATTACTGCATGTCTACTAACATCTTACAGAAAAATATTAATTTCAATTTAAAATACCAAACAAATATATACACTGTAGTGAATACTGCAGAGATTCAAAAATATGTATATAACGTCATTTTTTTTTTATTTTTTATATATAATTTAATGCAGTATTTTTGTATCAAAAGCACGTATAGTACTAGCTGAACCTCTGTTGGAATGTGATGCACACAGGTGTTATCGTTATGACCTTCTACCTTCAGCTTCTGCTGGTTGAAAAAGTGCTGCTGGTTCTTGTGGTCCTCTTTGTCTTCGAAGATCGTTTTGCTGCTGAGGAGGAGTCACGGAAACTCTTTGTGCACTTGTCATTGTCGGAACTGAAGGGCCAAATGGTGTAGCACCTATAATTATATTTATCAAAATTTTATTCAAAAATATTTTCTTATATTTAATAATAATAATTACTTAAAATATCATCAAGAGAAAATATAAAATATATATTTATACGAAATCAAACCTGATAAAGGATTTAAAACTTGATTTGACATCATATAATATGGGAACATAGCAGCAACGCTTTGCCATGCATGCGCTTCTTGTAACCATTTCTCCAATTTCCTAAAGTATTCAGAACGTTCTTCGGCTGAGCTCATTTTTGATTCATCTTTATCTTCTTTCAAACTCTCTTCATTTTGATCTTCATTTTTGTTGTTTGCCATTTTGAACTTTGTAACAATACAAATTAAATACAATATTATTAAATATAACATATATAAATGAATACAAGATGTATATATATACATATATATATTGTTTATATTGTAATAAATCGTTTTCTAATCATAAATGTATTAAAAAATTAACAAGCTTTTTAAAAAAGTATACAAAATGAATCATACCAAAATATGTCAGTCACACTTGTGGATAGATTAATAGATAATTTTAAAAGATATTATTATATTATATCAATTAAATGATGTTTCTTTCACGTGTCACATAATAGATATATACAGACACCGACAATACTATTACTGGGATGTAACTGACGTGTTTAAAATTAAGTGGACAAATAAGTCAAGATATCAACGTTTACACAACCTTTAGAAAAAATGTCAATATATTATACATAAACATATAATGATTGTTTCTCGTCACACTTACGATTAGAAGACGACTTTATAAAGCGCTATTACAAAGAGAAAATTCTATACAAATTGTATTTTCATTTCACGTAATTATAATAAAATTTATGAGATTCTATTTAAATATGGAAGAACAGGATCAACGTGCGTCATTTTATTTCATGTTACGTTTCCTATGGTTTGTAAAAAAAAAATGTAATAGTTATATTAAATTCCATTATCCAATCACGAGAAATAAATTAGCAGTATTTTGTCACTCATTGGTCGCTTTCAAATTCCGTGGATGAATCATTACAGACCTATCGAAAATATCATTGGTGGAAAGGTTAGTGAGATTGAATCGACCAATCAGATGAAACAATTTTCGATATGTCCGATTCTAACAAAGTACAAAAGGATACTGTTTATTTTGTTAACAATAAAATATTGTAATCTTTTTGAAATATTGAAGATATTATTATTCGTTATATTAAAAGTATAGCTGAAGTTGAGTAAAAATTGAAAACATGACTTTAATCGTAGAGTGCGAGAACCTTTATAAATACATCGCTATGAAAGTTTCTTCTACATAGTTTCCAATACACAACGCAGTACGGCGTCTGCAGAGAGGCGCTAGTCTCTCAGGACATGACGTATTTAGAATAGTCGTGCAGTAATCACAGTCAGAGTGTGTTTCTGACGAACCGCTTCATCATAATTTTTACATTATTGAGATAAGTGAGGGACGAAACATCGTTCTACGCGATTTCGTGTTAGTGTCGAAGAAGAAAGAAATAAAAAAAACGAAAAGAAAACGAACTAATTCACGACAGTGAATTTTATGTGTGACAGTTGATTGAGATTACTCGGGGAAAGGGGTGTGGGCCGACTGAACGCCAGAAAATATTAGGTAAGCCTCCTATGCTCTTTTTTTATATCAACGAATATATTGATATATATATATATATATATATATATATATATATATATATATCAGTGTAATTTGTATTTGAAATATTTAATCAATGATTTATTCAAAATCAATTGTTATCAAATTAATTCAATAAATCAAATAGATTCAAAAAAAGGAGTGCTCATTTCAGGAATTGTACAATTCATTTGATCATACAAATTCAGAAATTTCAAAGCTAGTATATCAATAGTAACTAAATATTAATATATTAATATTACTACCATTCAAATTTCAAATAGTAAATCATAAATATATTCCTAGTGTATACAAAGTTATTTACTTGTAACGTTTTAAATCCTATATGAATTTATAAAACAAAGATTTTACAGATTTCTTCCATTATCTATTACTTATTGTATGTATCTTTACTTAAGTAATTATTAATGTTCTTTATTCTAAAAATCATGAACGATAATAAGCATAAGAGAAAACATAAAAATGATATTTTGAAAGTAATATATAATTGTAAAGAAACAACTGAAACAACTTAATCGTAATATAGTATTGATAAATATCAAATTTTATCATTAAAGAAAGAGAGAGAGTGGGAGATTGAGTGAGAGAAAGAGACAGAGATAGAGAGAGAGAGAGAAAGAGAAAGAGAGAGAGAGAGAAATATATATATATATATATATATATATATATATATATGAATATAGCGACCATAAACAGGTTTTACGTCAGAAAATATACATAGCCTTATGAATTAGTTTGTCATCGTAAATGAAAATTAGTTTGTCATCGTAAATAAAAAAAATTCTCACGTTAAAGATAAAACTATATGTAAAATCTTTAATGCTTAGATTAATAGAACAATTATACCTCTTTGATGGAGTGCTTTATTTTTCTTGAAACTTTTCTTTCCTTCCCTCCGGAAGACTTTTCTCTATCAAGTAGAAGTACACAAATTCATATGAAGGTCTTGAAGGTGAATTTCTAAGAATACTAAGCGGTTACGTGCTATTCCTTGCTGACACTGTAAACAATCATACGTCAAGCGAAGTCGCAGATCCTCGCATTTCTATCGCGAGAAAATACGTTCGTCCATTCCCTCGTCTAAAGAGAAGATTGAAATAAAACGATATAAATGTATCTCGTGCGATCTGTACTAAGTCGGATAAAATATATATTGTATTTTTATTTTACGAAAGAAGAATTTAACAGACAACTCTCGATTTGAAAAATTGTATTATTTACATTTATCGTTTTGAATAGTGACGACATCAACGGCTGCTCTTTTCTCTCTCTCTCTCTCTCTCTCTCTCTCTTTCTCTTTCTTTCATTCCCTTATGAAAGACAAAGAAAGAGATAAACGTGTTCCAATCGAGCAAACAGATCGCCTCTAAAATATACTCGAGATAGCTTAAACCTCATGTTTGCTGTTTGTGTTTGTGCGTGCGTATATATATATATATATATATATATATATATATATATATATATTTGTGTATTTCTCCTGCGACGATGTGCGAACATTATTTTTATGAGATACTGTCTGCTGCATCTCGTGGGAAGGGTAAAAGGTGGGGATAGGGGGAGGTCTGGATCGGTGAAATGCCTTGCAAAATTCATTCGGATGATTTGCGACCTGTATCAAATTGCCGTAATCCCGTGAAAATGATATATTGCGCATTAAGGTGTAATATTATCGCTAGCAGCGTATCATCAATACAAAGATATGTGTAAAGTTATAATACGTACGATATTAGTAACTCTCGACCTTAATATCTATCCGCGACATTTTAGCGATCACCAATAATGTCGACGTATGTATTTAATATCACGTGACAATGCTATCTAAGTATATCATATTATATATCGATAATATAAACTCTATTTAAATTTTAAATACATATCCGTAAAGGACACTATATAAGTGGATGAATGTATGAAATAGTTTCAAGTAGTTTCATTAATAAAATTTCATGTAATGTATATATATGTGTGTATGTGTGTGTAACATACAATATTATAATACGTCCTTCTATAAAACTGAAGTAAATATATCACATATATCAAGTCAGTATATTTTTTGATATATGTATGTAGATTTTTCTCCTAAAAAATATATCACTCACGATCGTTTGGCTTTTTTTTCTACGTATATACATACATATATACATATATACATATATACATATATACATACATACATATACACATACATACATACATAAATACATAGATAAATAGATAGATAGATAAATAGATACGTCGAACTCGTAATATCTATCTATTTGGAAAAATTATTAGCATATTTTTTCATTTTTGAAGCTTTCCAATGCTGTTAGATTCGTGAAGTTACTGTAACTCCAAGGGTCTTCTAAGTGTCGCGTTAAAGCTAGGGATTTGATGGAGAAGAGACGAGTGAGTGAAGATCGTGGTATGTCGCGTCTAAAGGTTCAAAAGAGAGTTACGGAACACGAGAGAGAGAGAGAGAGAGAGAGAGAGAGAGAGAGAGAGAGAGAGAGAGAGAGAGAGAGAGAGAGACATAGATAATATAGGGAGTGACTGAAGGAGAGAGAGACATGCAAAAGCTTTGAAATCGTGTGTTCTCAAAAGCTACGGAATTCTGTATTCCGTTCTTCTCTCTTCCTTTCTGCATCGTATCCAAGAGTTTCACCAGATACAAAGGCAAGCCGTGTACCTTTTCCCGGTAAAATTACAACGCGTTCGTTCTTGAGAATCGACAAACGCTTCTCTCTTTCACCCTTTTCTTTTTTTATTTTTTTCTTTTTTTTTTTCTCTCTTTCCTTGTTACTTATTTTATAACATTCTCGTTTATTTCTTTCAGTTTTTGTTTTGTTTCTTTTTTTCTTTTTTTTTTTTTTTTTTTTTTTTTACCCCGAGTACTTCCTTAAGAGTAAAGATCGACTCACAGATTCACACATTTATCAATTCAGTCTCTGTTATGATCATCAGAATATAATTTTAATATTATTGCATGTATTCATTCAAATGTACGCATCGATACATTTATCGTTCGGTCTCATTGTCGGTGTACAGTCATCAATCGATCGATAGATCCGTCATACAGAGTTCCTCTAATGTATGTAAATTATACGTAGACGGAATGAAGATATCGAACTGAAATATAGGATAAATAAAACTCCTCCTCGTTGAGACGGAAAGAAACAAAAACGATTTTTTGCGATAAGGGATATTATCGTAGATTCGAGTTTTCTCTCTTTGTCGTCGTTACTGGATGCGGTCCGACGATTGCGCGGTGAACCACGTTAGATGTTTCCCCAAGCGAACACAATGGATCGCACTCGCGACTTCCGTTGGTGCTTTATTGGACGCGACGAGCTATAACGCTCGCTTATACGACACACACACACGCACGCACACACACGCACACACACACACACTCTGTCCCATTGCGAAATTCGCAATACGATTCTCATCTTTCGCTCTTCGTAATATTACAAATATTATGTTTTTTTTTTTTTTTTTTTTTTTTTTTTTTGATAAAAATATCGATAGTAACTAAAAACTAGGGATTTAAAATTGCGCGGTATATTTGAATCAAAATATTTATCTGCATCGGATGTTCTAATACAACAAATATTTTCATAATTAAATATCTAAATATTTAATGAAAATACTTGGTTAGAAAGTAACAAATCAGAGAAAGAGAGAGAAAGAGGGGTTAGGGGGAGAGGGGAAGATTCGAATACTTTTAAATCGAAATTACGATTCTTTTTGATTCTTCGTGATGTTACAAATATTAAAATCGTTTTTGGATAAAAACATCGATAGTAACCTTCTAGAAACTACGGAATAAAAATTTCTAATACTCGTTTGTTTGAATACAAATATTGAAACGTTAATGTTTATAATCAATTATTCCGATTTCTTAATGCCGATACAATGAATGCTTGTTTAGAAAGTAAAGGAAGATAGAAGAGAAAGATAGTAACTATATTCGAGTACTTTTGAATCGAAATTCGTGCCGCGTCAAATTCTCTCAGCGCAATTTTATTCTCGTCGATGCGCTATGGCGACCGATCGATCGTACATTTTCATCGCTCGACATCCTGCAATATTTTCACGGCGAGAGATCAGGAAAGGAGCGAGGTATGCAAAGCATCCGATATGCTTTGAATTTTAATACCAGCAAAAGTGGTTCACCCTTCGTTACTCGATATGCCAATGAGGCGAATTATACGTATGTACATACGTGTGTACATATGTGTATATATATATATATATATATATATATATATACGCGCACACATATATACACAAACATACACAACAAGACTCAGCTTTTTTCAAACGGAGATCCTTACTATAACGTGACAAATGGATGTTTTCCGGTGAAGGTTATATTATTTTCTGCGAAAGAACGAGAAAAGAGAAATAATAGCTTCAATTATATTGCATTTTCCTCTTCGTGTCGTGAAAACAATTTATCTTTCGTTCGAACAATCCCCAGGATGATCCTTCCTTCCTTCCTTCCATCCTCCCCTACCGGTTGTCGTTTAATCATTTTTCTCTTCGTGACTATTTAATTACAACGCTCATACCCCACGAGAGAGAGAGACGTTTATTGTAATTTCTTTAACGCCCTACGGATATATTTATAAAGTACGTATTTTCATATAGTTTAAAAAGATTTTGATTTCGCCATTGCATTACGTTTATCGTACGAATCAATAATAATTAATTAATTATAATACGTAAAAATAATTACGCAATATATACGTACGCACCATACAGACGAACTAGTAATATTTCCCTCGATGTATGCTTGTTGATTTCTTTCTTTTTTTCCCCCTTTCTTCTTCTTCTTCTTCATCTTCTTCATTGTAACTTTTCCTCTTCGTGGTTTGCTACGCACCAGCCATGACCTCTTTAATAAAGAGAAGCCTGTGCTTTCCGCAGTTAGAAAAACACTTGGCTTTGCTCCTTGAAAATGAAATAGGAATACGAAGCAGTAACTTGTCGATCTAACCGGAAGATATTCGTCATTATCCCGGAAAGCGTTGCGCAAAGTAATGGCATTAATTGAGAGATTGAATTATATTCACCCAACAATCGAGTAGTTCACTGCAAGTAGAGAGCAAAAATCATACACATATGGTATGGAATCGTTTGATCGCGAAATTCCCCTTATCATCTTTTCCGTTTCCTCTTTTGTTGAATTCATTGAATTATTATGGATATTCAATCTATGATAATTATCGAAATAATTCCACAGGTGATATGATACTCGCAAACGATTCTTATCTCTCTTTCGCAACGTCGTATTAATATTAATAATTATTGATAAATATCTCCTGTTTTTTCTTTTTTAATTTTGAAATAAAATGTATAGGGCGAATCAAAAGTACCTAAGTGATTTTTAAAAATCACTTGTTACATTTTTCCAAGGCATTTAAAGTTAATTTTCTTTTTCTCCCAAAATATAAAACTATTATACAAGTTCAAGAAATGGAAAGAAAAATTATTCTTAAGCCTTTAAAAAAAAAAGATTAAAAAAAAAAAAAATAAATATAATGGATTTTTAAAAATCACGTAATAGAAACTTTCGATCTAACCTGTATAATGTTAATGGGAAAAGAACTACTTTTGAACCCTTTTAAAACGATTTTAATTACTCCACATTAAAAAAGAAAAAAGAAAAAAATGAAAAATGAAAAATAGGTTATATTGGATAAAGGCAGCACTTCGCTAACGTCGAGAGAAAGTGTTGTGTTGTTCTTCTCAAGAGGTTATACCACCTCTCTTTTCTCCAAACAGCTTTTCCCTTCGATAGTGATTACGAAGAAGGAAAGTGGTTTTCGAGTTAGTAAGAAGGGTGCTTGCCTGCCACAAAATCGATGGAAAAGTACGCCTAATGAAAAGGAGGGAAAATCCTATTACTTTCTTTTCCTCCCTTCTCTACTTACTTTTTTGCGACTATGACGGCCATCTTGGAAAAGTGAGTTTCGTAGGAGAAACCTAGAAAGTTGATATAAATAAGACGTATAACGAAATAGCGGGATATTCGTTTTATTATTTTTCTTTTTTTTTTCCCCTCTTTTTTTTCCAATTATTCATTTGCTCGTTCGTTTACCGAATGGAGAAAGTATTACTTAAACGTGTTAAAATTTTTATAAGTCAATTGAAAAATTTCATATTCTCAAAGAGAAACAGAGAGAGAAAGAGAGAAAATAGGATATGATCGTTAAAAAAAATGTCGAATATCCATACACTCTCCGTTAAGATGGTACCTCAAAGCAGTACGAACGATAATTGAATTTCGAACGTCGCCTAATGAACGAACTATTCTTCCAATTACACGTAGCGCTTCGTAATTACGTTATCTCTACTCGCTACTGCTCTCGAATTTTCGGTTCTGCTCGGGTAACGATGTAATACCGACGAGAAATTTAATTTCTCTCGTCTCGATGATCATGCTACGCTGCGCCTCCATCGCATTTTCATTCTTTTCTCCAAGTCTACTATATATTCAAAGACAATATACGGAATCTCTCTCCCCCCTCCTTCTCTATTACTCTTTCTTTCTCTCTCTCCCCTTCTCTATTACTCTCTCTCTCTCTCTCTTCCCTTCTCTATTATTCTCTCTCTCTCTTTCTCTCTCTCTCTCTCTCTCTCTCTCTCTCTCTCTTTCTCTTTCTCTTTCTCTCTCTGAAAGATCAATTTGATAAAAAATGAAAGAAAAAATTGGTATTTTTATTCTTATTTACAATAGCTTGAAAAGACGTCATATGTAAATACATACGTCATATGATTTATCAGTTTCTTTAAAGAACGTGTTTTCCGACTTTTTGACCACGAACCACAAAAAAGAAAGAATAGATATATGTATTGTATATTATTTGTTTATCTTCCATCATTAAGAAGATATGATTCGTGCATGCATTTTATATAATAGAAAGGGAACTCCCATTTATTGTATACATTTAATTTTTTTTATATTGTAACGTTATATAATTGTAGTCGTTATATTCCTTGGTTTACTTAATTTGCCAAAATGTTCTCACCTACGAAAAATTCATTTTTATCTGCAATGTTATTGTAAAGAAAATAAAAATAAAGCGAGATATTCAAAACAAAACGTAATAATTGTGTATAATAAAATTTATATATATATATATACACACATATACACATGTGCACACATAAATATACATACCTACATATTATATACATATTATTAACTAACGAATTCATTATTTTAGCGTGCAACTAGGTCGTTTGACGTTAGTACGCTCTTCTAGAGAGGCTTATGAATAAACATTAATACATACATAAATATGAATTAAAATACATAATTTGCGAACGAATTTTCATCCTGAGGGAAAATTCTTATGTATATTTTTCACATATTAGTGTATATACAGATAATACAATAAAAATGTATTTGTTAGCTTGCACATGTTTCATGTAAAATGTAAGAATCTTGATTATCCTTATAATGAGGTACTGCTGCCATTTTATCGTTTTCGAGATCTTATTTCGTTTCTTTTTCCCCAGTTTATAATATTATACACGGATTTACTATTCGTTGGCGATCGAAGAAACTTGTGTCAATTAAAATTTCGAGTTAGTTTGAGTTTGCGTCATGTTTATCGAGAACGCAATCCTGACACAAATCGGCCTTACTGCATTTTACTACTACATCACTGTGTTCGTCACATTGTCGATACTCACGTCTATAACATTCGTTTGTCTCTTGAGTTTATGCTACTATATAACTATCTAATAAATACCTAGTGCCATAAATCTCCAAACTTTTCGCTCGTAAATGTCGGGAAAAATAGCAGTAATAGGTAGATATATATATTCTTGCAAATACATATACACATGCAATATGGCGGGTTGCTATCAAACGCAAGAAAAGTTAGATAAATTGTGCTTCGGTGGACCCTGACGAGAATTAAAATACTTTATAAATAACTCTGTACATACGTACATGAACAATATATATTATATGTATATATATATATAAATATATATGTATATATATATATATATATAAATATATAGACGTATTATGCACGGTTAGGGAAGTATACTTGACACTAATCATGAATCGTATTTTATGCAGCAGAGTTCCATACCTGTTATGCTCTCCGTTGTGATATAGACATCCGCATGCATTCCATAGTAAATATATATATATATATATATATATATATGTGTATGTATGCATGTATGTATGTATGGCTTTGTAAATAATTATATGCAGCATGAGGTATTACTCATGCGCCTAGATCTCCCATTGAGAATATCATATCAACCGTTATATTCCCCTCTATATATATATATATATATATATATATATATATATATATTAAAGAAAAACATTTGTAACTCCCGTGAAAACTTTTGATCATCAATCATGATATTTCTATCGTCTATCTTTTGCAGTGTTACAATTAGAGGCTAGATTTCTCGTACATTGAGAACTCAAATGAGTTAGGGGCCAGTTCGGGCCCCTGGATATGCGCTATGGACAGTGTGGACAGTGCTAACAGACGGCAACCCACCCGTGTCTTTAAAAAGTCCAGTCTCAACGGCAAAATCACTGTTTACCTTGGAAAGAGAGACTTCGTCGATCACATAACCCACGTTGATCCTATCGGTAAAGAAACTACTTATTTCTTAATCCTTTGTAATTAAAATAATACATATACAACAATATAAGTATGATTATAAAGTATAAATATTACGATCGTACAATTTGATAGCATTTGAATATATACGTAATGTTACCAAAATACAATGAAGTTTATCATTATTTAACCCTTTGCACTATAGTATTATTCTTCTATTTTATTCTCATAAGCAAATTATGCAGTTTTCCTTTTTTTTTTTTTTTTTTTTTTTTTTTTATCTATTCTAGTACGTAAGTGCACGAATACTTGGAAATGTAATTTTGGAATAAAACTGTTTCCCCACTATAATTTGTCTTATTAATTAAATGAAGTGTCACGTGTCAGTGGTGATTCAAGAGTTCCAGAGAGAGAGAGAGAGAGAGAGAGAGAGAGAGAGAGAGAGAGAGAGAGAGAGAGAGAGAGAGAGAGAGAGAGAGAGAGGAAAAAAATAGTGTTATCACGTCAGCGGTGAGATTATAGTGCAGAAGGTTAAATGTGAAATTTTGAATTATTTCTTAACCCTTTTTGGATGACTATATATATATATATATATATATATATATATATATATATATACACATGCACACATGCTCTATAATATCTATATGTAACTTTTTTCGTTGCAGACGGTATAGTGCTCATTGATCCGGATTACGTGAAAGATCGGAAAGTTTTTGGCCATGTTTTGGCAGCGTTTAAATATGGAAGAGACGATCTCGACGTGCTTGGACTTTATTTCCGAAAGGATCTTTATCTCGCTGCGGAACAGATATATCCTCAGGTGACCAGTTGTCAGCCGCGCAGAGAGTTGACGCGTCTACAAGAGAGGCTAATAAAGAAATTAGGAAGTAATGCTTATCCGTTCTACTTCGAGCTGCCGCCACATTGCCCGGCCTCGGTGACGTTACAGCCAGCACCTGGTGACAACGGTAAACCGTGCGGCGTCGATTACGAGCTAAAGGCGTTCGTGGGTGAAACTCAGGACGACAAACCCCATAAAAGGTATCATAATAGAATCTATTAAAAATTTACGATTACATTCACAAGATGGAATTAATACTGGTGATTTTTTTGTATAACAGAAAAAAAGATTTCAATCTGTTTCCTTTTTCTTTTTTTATTTTTAATTATATTTTTTTGTAAGTATTTTTAATTCTTTTTAATATCCAAAGAAAAATTTTTTTAATTTTTTATTTATTTATTTATTTATTTTTTATTTTTAATTACATTAAATATTTAATCTAAGCATTCGAGTGATACGTTCTGTTCAAAACTGTCCTATCAGAAAAGTAAAAAAAAAAAAAAAAATTATTTTATTCATTTGTCATTTGAGAGTATGCACTAAGATCAAGCAAATCAATACAAGTCGTATCGTAAACAATTGTTTAGTAAAAATAAATTATTATTAAAAGAGTTCTTGCGTATATAAAAGTAATGAGAACATTTTATTCGTTGATTGTTGCAGAAATTCAGTAAGGCTAGCGATACGGAAGATCATGTATGCACCATCTAAGCAAGGCGAGCAACCGTACGTTGAGGTCAGCAAAGAGTTTCTGATGTCGCCTAGCAAGCTACACTTGGAGGCGTCTCTTGATAAGGAGCTTTATCATCACGGCGAGAACATAGCCATTAACGTGCACATCGCGAACAATAGTAATCGAACAGTTAAAAAGATAAAGGTTTCCGTGCGACAGTTTGCAGACATTTGTTTATTTTCAACCGCGCAATATAAGTGCATCGTTGCTGAAGCTGAAAGCGAGTGAGTACCTTCCAGTTAATTCTATCTTGACGAGGATGACAACGATGATGAAGACGATAACGATAATAATCGTCGGAATAAACGTTACTATGGATTCATTATATCGCTTTACGGCAAATAATTGATCCTATGAATGAACGAACAAACAAACAAAGGATTTCGATCTATTCTTTTCTTTTTTTTTTTTTTATATATATATATTTTTTTTATTCATTTTATTTATTCATTTATTTTTTTATTATACATACATTCAATCATTCAATAGTTTGGGAACAGATAAACCTTATCCTAAACATTTTTTAGACTTATAAATAATATGGTAATAATAACAAAATGTAAAATATGCAAAGAAAGATACATAATAGTATTATACGCACAACATAATATATAATAATTTTAATATCTATATGTTATATAGATAAGATTATACAAAACGGATTAATATTTAAAATTTTTAATTTTGATGTTTGGGTATCTTAATATTATTTGAATAGTTTTTATCGAGTCATCGAATTTATTTCAACAATATGAAATATTTAGAAATCAGATATAGTGATAGAGTTAACAGTGTATATCTGTTCTCAAGCTCTAAATCGATCGTAATCCATTTTTTTCATCACGATCTATAAAATCGATGACGATGCCAATAGAATGGTATAGAATGCCAATAGATAGTTTAGAATTTCTTTATGCATTTCTCCGAACATATCACAAAACGCCAACCTATGCTAGGTATAAAATGAATTTTATATTAGAATCTTGAAAATATGAAAAAGGAAAATAAGATGATTGCACTGGCAGTATAGGGGTAGCGCCAGGATTCACCTTGAGCAAGGTCTTTTCTCTAAGGCCGACGCTTGCCGACAACAAAGACAAGCGAGGTCTTGCTCTAGATGGTCAACTTAAGCACGAGGACACCAACCTCGCATCTAGCACAATGTGAGTGTGTGCTCGAACATAGAACGCGATTTTTTTTTTTTTGGAAGGTTTCAAGAAAATGGAGACTGGCAACGATGGTTTGTA